CCCCAAAACCCCAAAATCCCAAAACCCCAAAACCCCAAAACCCCAAAACCCCAAAACCCCAAAGAAATTTATTTATGAAATAAATTTTTAAAGGTAAAGTATGAACCATAACTGCCAGTGCTTTTAAATGAAATTTAGGCAGCTAAACTTAATTATAGATGAGCGAGAGCCAAGAAGAGTTTATGGAGGAAATCCTCAAGTACGAGGTAGAGAACCCTCTGGTTTATAAAGAGTTTGAGTACAACAAGAGTCAATGGGATAACATTCCAGGCATCATACCTAGATTTGTCCTCTTCCTGTCGAAGCACCTGGAAGCCCTTACTGATAAATGTAATGAAAGATTCACCCAGATTAGTACGGTGGAGCTTGAAGAGAAGGTTGATAGCAAACTTTTTGACCTTCAAGAAAAATTTGAATCTCTTGGGAATCGTCTGGATACCTTTATTGAAGACAATTCAGCTACTCTAGGGAAAATGACCTCGAAATTAGAGCAAATTGAGAAAGATAATCATGATTTTATGGTAGATTATTGCTTATTTTGTAGGCCAAACAAGAGAAAGAATGCTCTACTAATATGAAAGAGCTGATTTCGACACCCAAAGTTGAAGATTTTGTCAAGCAGTTTGAGGAGGATGAAGAGCTAGCTGAAAAAGAAGAGAATGACCTCAGTGCAAATACCAACAAGGATACTGAAGAAGATCCAAACGAGTTAGGCATTATATTGAAGGAGAAAGAGTGGTTCAAACAGAAACCTGAGAAGTAAGTCTACTCCCTCGAAAATCTAGCTTTGAGGAATTTGATAAGCCAAGGTCTTTCACTTTAAATCAAATCAAAGATTTGGTATATCTCCACTTGTCTCGATCAGATTTCAAGAAGAGGTTTGTATCCCAAAACAACTTATTGCAACTGCATCAGGACAATTTTGATGAGATTTCTCAGTACCGGAATCAACTCTCAGTTGACCTTAAGAGTGAATTTTCAAATTGTGAAGCCCAGATTTCTTCAAATTCTAAAGATCTATTGAAATATGTGTAAGCTCAAATTCACAATTTTTAGCGGTGAAGCTGATAAGACTCACAAGGAGATGCAAGAAAGGATAGTGTCTAACTTCAAGAAATGAATGAGTCTTCAGGACACAGTCGCTGAGCTTAAGAAGTCCAGTGACTCTCATAGTAATAAAATGGATAAGATGAGCATCAAGATCTCCTCAATAAGCACTAATTTTAACTCAAAAATGCAGGATATTGAGACAAATTATGAGAAAACCGATAAAGTTAAAGCACGAATCAGGGACGCCATCAACTTTGAAAGAGACAGGTACTCGACTTACTCGAAATCCTTGGAATATTCCCTCTTTCCAGTCCATATCAGTCGTCTAAAACACTTTATAGCATCAATGGCCAGTTGGATAAGACCAAGATATTGTGTAAAGAGCTCATTGAGATCAACAAGTATGAACCCGGTTTAACCTGATAGAGAGCAGATTGATAGCTTATTGCAGACAGAGACTGAAAACCTTAAGGAAAGTAATGAAACGATTAAGACAGACATTGAAAAGTCCATGGAAGATGTACTCAATAAGAACAAGACGCAAATCCTGAAAATAAAAGATGTCTGCACAAAATATTTTGATAAGAATGATGATGCGATGAAGACAATCCAGGCTAAGGTCAAGGTCGTAGATTCAGCTTTTGATGATTTTATGAATAATGTGGTCAAACCTCAAAAGTTTGGTGAAGCAAGGCTGTTTACAGTTGAAACTAGGCTTAAAGAGGAAGAAGACTTGAGAATTCTGGAAATTTCTCATTGTAAGGATATTATTAAGAAGCTGATATTTGCAATCGAGCAGAACAGCCTAACTTCTAAGGATTCGTTCTCTGTAGGAGCTGAGAGTAGTCACCAGCTGCCTAATTTACTTAAGAATTCCACTATCTCAGGGTCGAAGATTAAGTTAAAAAATGACAAAGACGAAAGGATAAATTTAAATACTATCCAAACTAAGGGACTTGATATATTATTTATGAAAAGATTAATGTACTTAAAGAGTTCCATTGACGATGATAAACATATTTCCAAAGATCAGAGACAGATGAGTGACCACCAATTTGAAAAGGACCCTGGAATCCAATATCCTAACACTACCAGCTCAGCTTTGATTAGTTTAAAATAACGAAATGTCTGCTGCAGAGAATGCTCTTTCATCACAAGGTTTGACTCCTACTAATTTTCTAGAAAGATCATCTGACAGGAAGATATTTAACAAATACCAATCTGCTTTTTCACCTAACAGAATCCATACTGCTGAGAAGGGTGTTAGTAGGAAAGATAGGGTAAAGAAAGCTTGGAACAAACCAAATATAAATAAAAGAGGGTCGAAGAACAGACTTGAAGAATCAAAGAATGTATCAAAAAGCAACCTGAACAAGACAGACATCAATAATGTAAACAACAGTTACAGCGTAAGTTTCCTAGGCTAATGCAATAGGACTTGAGAGTGCAACCAGTGTTGAAGACCATGGTCGATAAAAAGCACCGGTGCCCCAAACATCCAGGAGGCTGTGAATGCAAACAGGATGTCGTCACTGATATAAGAGGGAGGAATAAGATGGAAGAGTACTGGACAGTCAACCAGTTCTCGATCGATGCGAGGAACAAGCCTGCTTATAGGTCTTCAGAGAAGCTAGATCACGAAAATGATAGGAGAGAGAAAGATAATGTCGCTGCTCAGAATTCTAATTTATAATTTTAGTCCAGCTTGATTTTGAATTTAACTTTGTTCCCAAACCTGGGGTTTTGGGGTTTTGGGGTTTTGGGGTTTTGGGG